GTTTATGAATGGGAAGTTTCAACATCAAAAAGATTACATGAAGCTGTACTTAAAGCATGTGGTTATACAGGTCTTGGATTAACACCTGATTCAAAAACAGTCTATGCTGTTGGTACTGATAGAAAAATTAAAGAAATTTTTGAAGCACAAGTTAGTTTAGTCTTTTTTTTCTATATGATAATCGATATATTGACAAAATTTTAGCAAATTGTTCGTGAAGTTTCAATCACACCAGATGATGTTCAACCCACTGCAATTGCTCTTAGTCATACGGGTAAATCTTTATTAGTTGGCACATCCAAAGGAACTGTTCGATCATATTCATTTCCAATATCAAAACCTGATGACTATACGGAATATATTGGTCATGTTGGCATGGTCAATCGAGTAAATTACCTACAGAAAAAAAATACTAATCTTCATATGTTTCATTTAGTTACGTGTAACATACCAAGATGAATATGCTGTAACAATTGGTGATGATGGTATTGTAATTCTCTGGACATTACAAGAAGTTGGTATTGCAAAGAAAGAAAAAGAAACAATTTATGCTGAAGAAATTCTTATAACTAAAACTGATCTTGAAGAAAAAGTAAAGAATTTATTTTGTAAAAACTGAACTATTTATTTTTATTATAGAATGCCTTAATTCGTGAATTAAAACAACGTGTTTCAGAATTACGTGAAGAAAATGATTATCAATTAAAATTAAAAGAAATGAATTATGCTGAAAGAATACGTGATTTAACTGATAAATTTATGCAAGAAATGGAAAATTTAAAGACTAAACATACAGTTGTTACTGGTGAAAAAGAAAAAGAAGCTAGTAGACATGCTGAACAATTACATGATCTTACGGAAAAACAACTCAAAGAATTACAAGATTTAGGTAAATAGAAAATTATTTTTTCGATTTATTAAATCATAATTTATTTAGTAGAAAGAATATTTTTATAGTTTTAGTTTGTAAGTTTTTAGCTGCATTTTTGCATTTAATTTATTTGTTTATTATCTATATATTATATTGCTTTTGTTTTTATAGAAAGCTCGAATAATCAAAAATTAATGTTAGAATATGAAAAATATCAAGATCTTCAAGCTAAAACTCAAAAAACTCAAGAAGATTATGAAAGACAATTAACGGAATTAGAAAATCGTAAAGAAGAAGAAGTTTCACAACAACGTTTGCAATTTACAGCTCAACTCGAAAGAATTAAAAATGAACTTATTCTCGTACGTTTCTTCATATATATACTATTAAGGATAGAACTCAAACTAATCTCCGCATTACCTCAAAAATGTGTCATAGATAATAAAGACAGTCGATTGAATCTAAATAGTGAGACCTACAGTCTTCATATTTACAATGGGTTCTTATCAGAAACCCGCAAAATTTGCCCCTCGCTCATGTTCATGCCTATGTTACCTCTCGAGGTACGCGCGTAGGCATCAGCATGAGCGTGGGACGAGTTTGCCGGTCTCTCATTATCACCACTGTTTCTCGGATGACGGCCTTAACTTATGAGCACTAATAACGAATCACTTTGGTTATCTAGACACCATTCTAGACAAGAAAAACCCTCGACTACCAATACAAAAACTTATTTTATGTCTCCTACTCGAATAGCTTCTTCTTTTTATTTATTCTTTAATCAAAACTAGAAGCCAGGTCAGGATAGAGTTGGAATCGGTCCGGCAATCCGGTTCCAGACCGGACAAGACCGGACGAAAAATCTAACTGGTCCAGACAAAACCGAGTTTTTAACGGTTCATAAAATTAGAAAATTATATTTGTATTTCAAATTTTTTTCTTATAAAGCTAATCTTTATTTGTTTTTTTTGAAATATCATGTTAGGAATTGTTATACGTATATGTTTTACTTGAAAAAGAGCATGTGGCAAAAATATTCGTATAAATTCAAGATTTTGCCGGAGTTTTGCAAGTTTGACGTCAAAAGTAGTTCGGCCGGATTCTTACCAGATTTTTGCCAGATTGACGTCAAAAGTAGACCGATCGGCGGCCGAACTTAGAGCCCATCGGGTCAACGTTTTTTTGAACCCGGACCCGCCCAGTAAAAATTTTTTGGATCCGGACCCGTTCAAAAATGTTTTTTAGACCCGGACCCGGACCCGATGCCCGGTCCGGGCCCAAGTTGTACTCGATTTCGACGAGCACTAGTCTGAACTCGAACTGGACCTTTAGAAAAATTTTTAGTCTTAACTATCCAAAAACCAAATCTGAGGAGCAAAAAAAAAGGTCTTTGATTTATTTTTCTGAAGATCTATCAACCAGTTTTCAAATCCAAAATGGCATTCTCATGTTCACTGAGTAGTATAAAAATATTATGTTGATAATATATTTCTTTTTATCCGGACCCGGTCAGAAAAAGCTTCGAGACTCGGACCCGGCTAAAACAAAATTTTCAGATCCGGACCCGATGGGCTTTACCGGTCGAACCGAACCGGACCGGATGGAAAAATCCGTCCGGTTCCAACTCTGATGTTTATTGTCAGATCTAACAAAATTTAATGACTCAGGATCTGATTTTCTGCTTGACTTATTGTTCATTTATAAATTAAAAGTGATCAATTCTAAAACATGAAGGATGATTCTAAGTGATTTTTCGTCATCATTATTTCATTTAAGTTACTATTACCGGTAAACTGGTCAGCATCAAATAAACTTTTATATATACAGAGACGACATGAAAGATTATCTTGTATGGCTCGTGCATAATTATTTCTATGGCGATGTTGCTGTTTTTTCTATTTGTACAACATTAGTTTCATTATCATTTTGTATTGCCACTTTTTCATCTGATATGCCATTACTGAAATTATTTGATTTTCCAGTTTCTTTTGCCAATATTTTCGTTGTTGAAGTTAATACAGATGTTTCATTTGGTTTTCTTATTGATACTTCTTCGTTAGTTGTCTCCGGTTTCTCTAATGAAGAATTAGTCTCATCAATAACCGATGTTTTTGTTTTTTCAGATGATTGATTCGTTTTTTATCATTTGTATTTGTATGATTTGTAAAATTCTTTTTCTGTCGTGCTTCATTATTTGTTGTAGGTGTTGATGGTATACTAGATATATTATTTGTATTATAAGTTGTATATTGTTGTTGATGGGTTTTTGAAATTTAAATCATGATACATATTTTCATCATCATAATGTGATGAATTTATATGATTAGCAATTTTATATAATTTTGCAGTTGTATTTACATCAGATCGTACACTCATTAATGGTGGTATAGATGCTGTATTTATTGTTTGATATCGTTGTTGATAAGATTCTGATTGACGACGATCATTTATTTGTTGTTGAGATTTATACGTCATTGACACTTGCGGTATTGTATCAGCAGATTCTGCTGATCGATTTGTGGAGAATGGACGCCCTACTGGTTGAGTTTTACTATTGTTACTTTTATTTAATGTCGCTCAATTTTGTTTATAACACGAATCTAACTGCATTAAAAGAAAAAAAATGAATAAATATTCAAAATGAATATTGAAATTACTTGTTTTTTGTTGATAGTTGTTTTGTTACAATGGTTTAGTTTTTGTGTTGAAAGATCATCTGAATGTAATTGTTGACGATTTCTTTGATTCGTTCCAATTATTTTATTGATCATTTGAATTATCATAATAATCTGTATCTGTACTATCAAGTTGATCAGATACTTTGAAAGAATTTTTAGTTTGAATTGAATTTGTTTTTTATTCTTGTTTTTTCGAAGGTAGTAATAGTTTCTTAAATTTCTTGTAACTGGCTCTTTGTCATGTTGAAATTGTGAACTTGATGCACTTTGAGACCGGCTATATTTATTTGATACAGATAATTCTTTATTCTCTAGATAACTACCAGATCTAAACGATAATATTTATTAAATATCATTTTATAAAAAA